CTGCAGTGACGTGCAGTGAGGTTCATGGCTGGCGAGGCACTGGCACTGACTCTTCAGGTTTACAAATATTATATTTTGACCTAAACCAAAATATAATATTATTTTCAAAAGCTTTTTTTGTCTGATGCTTCGATTAATTTTAAACAGACAGTTCAACAAAAGGATACCCAAAAAATGTCATTTTATCATTTAAATATTGAATTGTTCTCTCTTAGTAAGATCCCATTTTCAATAAAATGGCGGTCTTACCTTGACTTGAAGATGAAGTCCATTTTCCTATCCTTCTGGACAAACATTTCTATTACTTTTTTGTAAAAGTCCTCCTTATGTTCTTGTAGTTTCAAAAGTCTATCATAAATCTAATCCATAGATTTATGATAAAAAAATTATATAAGTAGGGTAGACATGTGGATGTTATCCGGCTAATCAAAACGTGCATTTATCTAACAGGTACGTTTCCCACAGATCTTATTTCGAGCTATTTTCTAAAATCCTCTGGAGAAATCTCATTGCTTTTTTGTGCTTACTTCCTGGTTTTAGGACGCGCCACTGCAGCTCTCTCGTCTCCTCTTCACACAGCACACTTTTCGCGGCACACATACTTACAGCCAATCAGCTCTGAATGATTTGAGATGACGTATGGTGGGGATGGTAGCTCCATGCCCCTCTGGTCATTATTTTTTTGCCACACACATTTCATTACAAAATACTCTGAGCATGCGCAGTGAAGTTTTTACAGTCACCGTTGACTTCACAGCGAGAGGAAGGGGCATAATCAGGTTTTGTCCCACATGGCTCTAAACAGCTCAATAGGCACACACTGTGACTGTAGACACACTAATTAGAAGAACACAGACTAAAACAGCAATGTACAGACGAATCAGATGATTAAACATGATCTTAAAATATATTTTATATATTTTTTTATTTTTTTTTTGCATTTTTGTAATCATTATTTGTAATACTTTCTGCTGACACTAGGTGGGGCTGTGCCCCACCTGCCCCTAATGACCAGTCGCCACTGCCTGTACATAAGACTGGTTTCTCTAAATTCGCCTTTTTTAATACTGTGAGCCAGAAATCTCCACTTTAGAATCATTTACATACACCAAACTTTCCATTTTGATTTACATAAGGATATTTTTCATTATTTCATTCAAAGCCTGATTTATAGAGCATTTTATTTTTATTTTAAAAAGGACAAATATGTGAGGTTTTTGGGGCGTGTTGATAGTATTTTGTTATTTTGAGTAATCCAATGTCTATGTGTTGTTGCGTGACCTGTCCATGTTACAGTGTTTAATGAGAAACTGAATAACTTTTTGAAATGGATAGGTGTCTGATTAGATGCCATGGTGTCTTCTTTTTTAGTCACAACATTTTTGGTAGAAATGTTTATGTTACAACATAAAAGAACAGAAAAAGTAGATCACAAAGCCCAGGAAATAGCTGTAACTGATACAAGTTTAATTGGAATGTAATACAGAATGTGTTATTGCTCTGACTTCAGCTGGAGGAGCTCCCTGCGTCTGTCGGCCGTCTCCAGAACCTTCTGGTCCTGAACCTGTGTAACAACCGTCTGTCCAGCCTCCCCAGTGCCATGGGTCTCCTGAAGAAGCTTCTGACTCTCAGCCTGGGGATGAACCAGCTGAACGACCTGCCCTCCTCCATCTCCGCCCTGCAGGAGCTGCGGCACATCGGCCTCTCCGACAACAAGTTCACCCGCGTCCCCTTCTGCATCTCCAGGATGGACAAACTGGAGCGGGTCAACCTGGACAGGAACCCCATCGTCACCGAGGATAAATCCAATCAGTCCAATAATACGGAGAAGCTCTACCTGGTGAAGGAGAGCGTCCTGTGTGAAGACTGCCTCAATAAGTGCCAGACTGACAGGAAGACGATGGAGGATAATGAAAACTGGAATGAGACAAATTGACCGGGTAAACCCAACCTGTTGACCCAGGAAGGATAAGAAAAAAACACTTCTAGGAACTTTATATGTATAGTTTTGACTCATTTTATTTTACCACACTGTTTACTCAAGCATACTGTACTGTTTCCTTAAAAGGGGAGTGATTTGTAAAATATCCTTAAAGAAAAAAGTAAATCTGTTTACAGTTCTGTTTCATATCGTGTTGAGAGATATATCCATAGATCTCTTAATGTTGCTGTCAACGTGCACCAGATTGATGAATTTAACTTCAATATAAAAAGAAAAATCTTCCTGGGGGAGCATGAGGAGGTTAGGTCCACCCCCCTCTTATAAAAATAGCACTTTACCCCTGCTTACACCTATATACAAATAATAAATGAAGTCTGGTGCAACAAGCATTAGTAGTGTATACAATTGTTTTTTTTCTTTAAACTAATGTTTCATTTCACATTTGGGAGGAATAAAGCATATCTAATCCAATGTAATAATACAACATCACCAAGGAAGACAACACAGAGATCAATGAACGTAATAAACTTGCAGCCACAAACACATGTTAAATCAAAAAGAGAAATGCACATGACAGTTAGTTGTGTACTCACCCAATCTGCTGCAGGCTCACCTGACTCCAGGCAGTGGTGCCGGAAGTAAAGGGGCCAAGGGGCCAAGGGGCCAAGGGGCCAAGGGGCCATTGGCCCCCCCACTTTACAGCCCTGCCCCACATTTTCGCAGCGGCGTCTGCCGCGGAACACTACACCCCGTTTCAATAATTCCCCTCTACTCTAAAGTCGCATCCGACATGCTCAGAGCAGCAGACTTCAGATAAAGGTTAATGGTCCTGCCCTCAACAGCTCTACGTCAATTATGGGGTGTCATCATCATATGCCGAAGATCAAGAGGGCGATCAAGAGAAGAGAGAGGGCGATCAAGAGAAGAGAGAGAGGGTGAGCAAGAGAAGAGAGAGAGGGTGATCAAGAGAAGAGAGAGAGGGCGATAGAAGATTGAGAGGGGTGATCAAGAGATAAGAGAGGGCGATCAAGAGAAGAGAGAGAGTAATGTAACCTCCTAATGTAATGTATAACTCCTATGAAAATGTTCAAAAAGTGCTCAAACTTCACATGTGTGCTAACAGTCCAGCCAAGAAGACATCTACGGGACAGTTATGAGATTTCTTCAAATGCTGTTGCCATGGCAACACAATGCTCGCCTTGAAACATGGTTTTATCATAACTTCAGTGAAAATACTCCAAACAGCCCAAAACTTCACAGGTTTGGTAACGATGCAGCCATCAACGCATCTAAGCGTATTATGGGGTGTCATCAAATGCCGTTGCCATGGCGACAGACAACTCGCCATGAAACACGATGTCGCTGTAAGTCCAATGGACACGGTCCGATCGTCCTCCAAACTTTGCTTGTATATCACCGGTACAGCCCTCAACAGCTCTACGTCAATTATGGGGTTTCTTCAAATGCCGTTGCCATGGTAACACAAGGCTCGCCATGAAACACGGTTTTCTCATAACTTCAGTGAAAATGCTCCAAACGGCCCAAAACTTCACAGGTTTGGTAACAATGCAGCCATCCACACATCTAAGCGTATTATGAGATGTCATCAAATGCCGTTGGCATGGTGACAGATCATTCACCATCAAGTTAGTTCAAAAGTTTGCAGTTCACACATTCAAGCCCCCAGTGTTCATGTATCATTTCAATCTAAATTCTTCACTTTCTTCTTACACATTACATTTCAGCATAGCAGTTTAGCATCAGATTTTCAGCATAAAGCATTCCCACTAGCAATTTTTTCAGGAATTGCATTCTCTAGTTAATATTAATGCACAACTCTATTGTAACATACATGTTTTTATATATTCAAGTAGTGCACACATTATTTTATCTACACCAATATATATTTTACTTTATTATATATTCTAATTGTATTAAACGTCTTAGCTGAATACTCAATTCTGATTGGTCAAATTGGACGTTTAAGAGGTTGTTAATACTCGATAATACACTGCAGCCAAGAAATCAGTATTTTAGATTGAGATGAAATCCTTTAGAGTTTATAAACGTGTGCATTTGATAATCCACGCTGAACAGCAATGGGTCGTCCTCTGTTTAGGCTTCTCCTGTGAAAACTGGGTTTAACATTTACTCAGTTTTTAAATACTTAGAAATCTCTTTAAAACATTTATTTTATTCCCTGTCTGTCAGGGAGTTAATTTAAACCCAGTAACTCTGTATGTTTTATATGATTATACAAGTTTGAAATGTAAAGATTGCATGTAATAAAACTTTAATTTCAACGATTTAAAATCAATATTGTCTGGACTGGAAATTAAAATGCATTTTATTTTGGATCTGAGAAATGATTCGCTGCTCAAACTTGCAGTTGAATTAAACATATTATTTATTTATTTTCCCATCATGCACAAATCACAAATGAACAATTTATAACATAGTTTCAATAAAACAGAGAAGGTTAAACTATCACCTGACATAAAGGTCTGAATCTGGGTGAGATCATTTCAGATGTAAAGAATATATATCTCTTATTTCCTCTAAAGGAAGCAGTTCAGCATATTTGATGTTACTTGGATTAAAGTGTCAGCTAAATGCACGTGTTTCAATTTAATAAAGGTTGACAGTATGATCAAAAAGCAGATTATCAAACTCAATAACAACAACATTAGTGAAACTAAAATAAACACATGTTTAGAATAAAGAGACAGCAGAGTATTTCCCTTTAAGACAGGCATGTCCACGGTCCGTCCTGCATATGTTAGATTATTATTTGTCCGACCTGATTCTGACACACCATCGTCTGTTCAATGTTATCTGACTCTCCAGGTATGAATGAAAGAGCGTGTTTTTAGAGTTGTTCACGCCTGCATTAGTGGCTTATATTTAGTTATATAGCCATTTGAATAAAATAAAGATAATTGTGACAATAAGAATTGTGATATAATATTCACATTATCAAATCCGGTCCTCTTTGAAAAAAGTTTGCACACGCCTGCTTTAAGAGATAAACATCATGATATAATGATCCCATTGATCTCTACCTGCTCTGCTCCACTGTCACACACACCTTCAGCGGTAATATCTTCACTTCACCCACAGCGTTAAAGTATGGAAACATCTTCTCAGTGAAAGTGTGTGTGAAGGTGTGTATGCCTGTGTTAGTGTCAGGATCAGAGAACGACAACTCTCCTCTGTTCCAGTCCAGATTCACTCTGAGCCTCTGGAGCTCCTTCTTCAGGCTGAGAGGAGTGACTGGACCTGATGGTGACCGTGCTGAGTATTTACCTCCAGAGAATAATATTCCCCATGATCCAGACCACATGCTTCTCTTCCTCTGGACAGACTCTGCTGACACACCCAGTGCCCAGAATGTACTGTCTGTAACCTGGACATCCCAGCTGTGAGTCCCTGAGTTAAAGCCCTCAGAGCTCAGGACAGAGAAATCATAATCAAACCTCTCTGGATTATCAGGAAGTTTCTGTCTCTCTCCTCCTCGTCTCACTCTGGTCAGATCTTCAGACAGGACGAGTCCTCTATGAGCAGTGTTTGGGTCCAGGATGAGAGGAGAGTAGGACACCATGTCCTTCATCTTGCTCCAGATGTTGAAGCTGAGGTTGCCCAGGTGTGTGGCCTGGTCTATCAGAGCTCCTGAGGGCAGCTGAGGATCCTCCAGCAGGGGGCGCTGCAGCCTCTCCACTGCGGCCTTGTAGTTGAGCAGGAAGGAGACGTCTCCAGCTCTCAGCTCCTTCTCTGTGGCTCTGACTGTGTGTGAAAGAGCTGCTATCTCTCTGCTCACAGCCTCCATCTTCTCCTCCATCATCCTCCTCTTCTGCTCATCTTCCTCCCTCAGTGCAGCCATCCTGGCCTCCTCTTCCTCTTCTAGAAACTGGTGAAGCTTCTTAAACTGCTCCTTGATCTGCGTCTCTGTGTGTTGAGCCTGGACCTTCATGTGTCCTGCTGTTTGATCAAACTCCACTTTAACTTCTTCAAAGAGCTTCAGTTTCTCCTGAAAGGGCTGCAGAGCTTTCTGGAGCTCCTCCCTGAGATCCTGAACAGCTTCATCCATGGGTCTGAATCTGTGGTTTTGATCTCTCTCCTGTAAGAAGGTCTCACTCAGGTTCTTTAAAGCCAGGTTACAGGGAGGATTTCTTCTTGAAGATTCTGTCTTACAGACTGGACACTCCTTTACTTCTTTCCCCGTCCACCAGGTCTGCAGACAGGCTTTACAGAAGCTGTGGCAGCAGGGCAGGAAGACAGGATCTCTAAAGACGTCCTCACAGACCGGACAGCGGAGATCTTCCTCCAACCTGGAAGCCATGCTGTCTCTGAGTGAAGCTGAAACACAGCAGACAGGAAGTACAGTCAGTCATGGCTCCCCTCCCCCTCCTCTACTGACTTCACTGAAATTAACTTTGAGTGATGTTTGGAGACTCACCTTCAGGGGGTGGAGGGTCCTATTGATGAATTGTGATCTTCTCGCTCCCAGGAAAGAAACTTAAAATAATGAGACTAATGGAGTCTCTAAAAAGGTTCAAATTGGTACTTTAATTAAGTAACGTGGTTAAAGAACAAGCATAGGTAAAGAAGAGACAAAGCCGGTGATGTCTCTCGGGAGGCTGCAGCGAAGACAAGAGACCGTGTTGTGGTTTCCGATCTCCTTTATACTCTTCACGTTCTCTCCAGCTCCCACTTTACGATCAACTGTACCTTCATTTAATATTCAGCAGTAATAATATCTCGACGTCTATAGATGTAGTGTTAAAGTCCGTAGGTTTTGGTGTGCAACACTCCATGTAATTTTCACTTCACATTCAGAAAACGTAATACTAGCCACATCTTCTTCTTCTTCTTCTCTTTAATGGCGAATCGCTTCCAGTTGGAGCATATATCGCCACCTACTGTTGGTTTATTAAATGTTTATACTAAATCCTTGTCCTCAGACCAGTGCTTTTGAGGAATTTGAAGATCAACTTGTTTGCTTCATTTCTTGATTTACTTTCATATATTGACTTGAAATCCATGTCCTTGATGTTGAGTTGTTCCAGTGCAGTTTTCAGAATGAGTCTTTGTCCGTTATAATCCGGGCAGCTAAAAAATACATGATGTATTGTCTCTGGTTGTTGGCAACCATCACAATTGCCATTTGGATGTTTTCCAATCAGATGCAGTGATGAGTTTAATCCAGAGTGACCCACTTTTATCCTGCTGTTAATGCTCTGTTCTCTTCTACTACTCCCCCAAGTGCTTCCCGTTCCTACTTCCCTTTGTATCTGGTATAAATGTCTTCCTTTGGTGTTACTGTCCCATAGTTTTTGCCATTGTTGCTTGATAACAACTTTTGTAACAGATTTGACTTCTGCTCTACTGATGGGTACCATAATATCAATCTGGTTTGCTTTCAAACCACATTTTGCCAGTTGATCCACTACCTCATTCCCTCTAATACCCACATGCGCTGGAACCCACACAAATTGAACAACAATTCCCAGATGAACTAACCTAAACATGATGTGTAAAATTTCATGTAAAATATCCTGTCGACATTCTGAAGAGAAGTTGTTTATACTCTCCAGAGCTGCACTGGAGTCAGAGCAAATGACCACTCGCATTGGCTGTATTTCCTCTACCCACTGAAGTGCTAGTGAGATAGCCATCATCTCTACTGTATATACTGCGATGTGATCACTCGTCCGCTTTCCCACTTTTACTTTTAATTCAGGAACATAAAATGCACAACTAGTTTGACCATTTTCTGGATTTTTGGATCCATCAGTAAATATTTGTATAAAGTGCCCATATTGTTCATGTAGAACAGTATTCACATAAGCCTGTACATTAATTTTGTTTTTCATTGAATGTAACCTTTTCAATAAAGATAAATCTACTATAGGTTGAGGTAGCAACCATGGTGGAACAGCTGATAACAACACCGTCGGACTAATATTCCATTCTTTAACTTTGAATTCTTTACATAATTCCGAAACACAAACACAAAAACTTTCTTTTTTCATTTTGTTACTTTCCCAACTTGTTTTTACAGTTTGTTTAGTAGGGTGAGTATCTTTATGGCCCTGTAGATTTGCCCAGTAATTAACAATTAACTGTTTTCTCCTCAAAAAAATTGGTATTTCTCCGACCTCTACCTGAAGTGCCGACACTGGTGTAGATCTGACTGCCCCACAGCATATCCTTAGTGCTTGTGCCTGGACTCTATCTAATATTTGAAGAGAAGAGTATGCAGCTGAACCATACACTATTAGTCCGTATTCTATGGCTGATCTAATTAAGGCTGTGTATACGTTCCTCAAAGCAGCTTTATCAGCCCCCCACTTAGTGCCTGCCAAGCACCTCATAACATTTAAAACCCTTTTACATTTATCTACTACTTTATCAATGTGAGTACTCCATGTGACTCTCTCGTCCAACCATATTCCCAGAAATGTAAATGTCTTCACTTTCTTTAGTTCTTGTCCATAAAGTTTTAACCTAACCTCCTCACCTATCCTTTTCCTCGTAAAAAATAAAGTTTCAGTTTTTTCCACCGACAATCTAAACCCCCGTGTCAGAGACCAGCTTTCAATTTCCGTAATGGCTTCCTGAATCTTACCTACAATATCATTTACATTTCTGCCCCTTTTCCAAATAGCTCCATCATCTGCAAAAAGTGACTTACCGATATCAGATCCTACTTGTGTATATATATCATTTATCATGATAGAAAACAAAAGAGGACTAATTACACTCCCCTGTGGGGTTCCATTTTCAACTTCATGCCTTCGAGAATAAGAATTGCCAACTCGGACTCTGATGGCACGGCCAAACAAAAAAATCCATAATCCAATTGTATACATTACCTCCCAGACCCATAATGTCCATTTTTATTAATAATCCTTCCTTCCACATCATATCGTAAGCTTTTTCCACATCAAAGAATACAGCTACAACACACTCCTTATTCGCTTGGGCTTTCCTAACTTCAGATTCCAGGCACAGCAGTGGATCTAAAGTACTCCGCCCTCTTCTAAACCCACTCTGATAAGGAGTCATTAGTTCATTTTTCTCAACGTAGTATGTCAGCCTTTCTGTTATCATTCTTTCCATAACTTTACACAAGTGCGATGTCAGAGCTATAGGTCTATAACTGCCTGGACTAGTTGGATCTTTCCCAGGTTTTCTAATAGGAATAATGACAGACTCTTTCCATATTATTGGCAGCTTCCCTTTCTCCCAAATCTTATTATACATCTCCAACAGCTTTCCTAATGCAAACTCACTTAATTTGGTCAACATTATATAACATACATTATCTTTCCCAGGAGCAGTCATTTTACACTTACTTAATGCTCTTCTCAACTCTTGAATAGAAAAAGGTACATTTACAACACTCTGCGACGAATGTCTTTCTTCATATACATTAGGATGTTCATCTAACACTTCCTGCCTCCTGATCTTACCTTCTTCTGTCAAATTTTCCGAAGAATGAACTTTGACAAAATGTGTTGCTAGAATTTCTGCCTTCTCCATAGCACCAGTGGCAATTTCCCCTCCATGCTCTAACACAGGCAGGTTACTCTGCTGTCTAATTCCCCTCATCTTCTTAATCATTCCCCATACTTTATCTAATGGCGTAGTTCTCCCAATACTTGAACAGAATCCTCTCCAACACTCCCTTTTTGCTCTTTTAACAATTTTCCTTACCTGAGCCTGTGCCTTCTTATATTCTAATAAATTGTGTAATGAATGTGTCTTTCTTAGCTTTCCAAACAGCCTGTTTTTGTTTCGGATTGCATCATTACATTCTTGGTTCCACCACGGTACCATCTTAACACATTTACTAAGTTTACCAGTTTTATTCCCAATAGATTGATTAGCGCTTTTAATTATATTTGACGTAAATTGCTCATTTATATCATCAATACTTCCTGCCATATCAATCTGATCAAATTCATTATCACACAATTTAGCAAACATCTCCCAATTTGCTTTAGAAAAAGTCCATCTCATGATACCGTCTAGCTCAACCACATTACTTATATCAAACTTGATTATAATCGGAAGATGATCACTCCCAATACTGTTATTTGCCAATACTTCCCAACTGCTACCAGAAGCTAATTCACTTGTTACCAGAGTTAGATCGATCGCAGACTCTGTTCCATCTCTAAAATTGAGTCTTGTACCTTGCCCATTATTTAAACAAACTAATTCATTTGCCTCCATTAAGTCCTCCACCACCTGTCCGTTGTAATCTGTTGATCTCCCTCCCCACATTGTATTATGTGCATTAAAATCACCACACCATATTATTTCATTTCCTTGACAAAGACTGTCTAATTCCTCTATTTTGAGTTTATTACATGGATTATAAAAATTCAGGACACTAATATTCCTTTTATTAATCCAAACTTCTACACCCACTATTTCTAAATCATGACTGTTCTTAAATGTTAGCCTACTATAAGACATTATTTCTCTGATAAAGATTGCACATCCCCCTCCCTGACCATCATTTCTATCTTGTCTTATAGCACTATATCCCCCAATAATGAAGTCCAAATGATTCTTCAGCCATGTTTCTTGAATACAAATAACGTCTGGTTTTTCTTTTAACTGATATATATAGGTCTTGAATTCTTGTCCATTTGCAACATTCCACTGCAGAATGAGAAAAACCATCAATCTATTCACTAATCTGTGAATCATCATTATTGGGGGCTAGCATATCATGTATCATTTCAACCGTTATATCCTTTATCCCCAAAAATTCACCTGCTGCTTCCACTATTGTTTTCAGTCTTGACCTCTTTTTTGTTTGTTGCAAAGCAACATTCACCACTTTTCCAATAAAGGCCACAAATGTGTACTTATTAACAATCAATGCATCCTCTCCTATCACACACTTATGTGAACACTTTGTGGAGCTTTCCTTTGCCTGTGGGAGTTTGGGAAAATCTTTTGAAGAGAATATACTTGCTGCTACTTGGGATTTCCTAGCTATGTTTAGTGATACCTTTTCTGTTGCTTCAGAATATGAGACTTTATTTTGCACTTTGTATCTCTGCACCTCCTTGGCCTTTTTCTGCACTTCGCAGCCCTGATACGCAGCACTATGTTCCCCACCACAGTTACAACATTTCACCTTAGCACCTGCAGCACAACTACCATATTCATGTTCCCCCGCACATGTTGGACACCTGGGCTTAGTTGCTTTGCACTTGTCTGCCACATGCCCAAACCTTTGGCATTTAAAGCACCGCAAAGGTTTAGGGATGAATTCTCTTACTGGAAAGCTCATGCAACCGATCATAATCTTCTGTTGAATTGTTTCTTCAAACTGAAGAAGAACAGACAAACTATCCACTATCTTACCCTGATACCTAGTAGGAAGACGCTTAACTACAGACACTTTTCCCCCTTTCATTTCTTTCTTGAGTTCTTCTATGCCGATTTCTATCGGAACTCCACTGATAACTCCAAGTATTTTCCGATTTGCTCCAGGAACATGGCATTTAATCCGAACTTCATTCAGGGTCTTCATTTTCAGTAACTTTTCCTGTTGTTTTGCATTCCTCATTTCAACCAACATCCGTCCTTTGCTCAGAAATCTTGCTTGCTTTATCGATCCAATTTCTTTGTGAATCGCTTTAGTCAGGGCCACTGGATGTAGCTTAGCTGCGGATTGCTCACCAAACTCCACAATCACTTTCCACTCTTCATTCTCAATCCTTTTCTTTACTTTCTTCAATTCATTCTGCGAATCAGATTCACTAAGACTGTCACTTGACATGTCTATCTTCTTTCTTGAAGTCTTTTTCCTTACTTCATTCCATCCTCCATCTCCTTCAGATGCACTTTCCATACCCTCCCCTCCAGGGCTCAAAGACGCCATTCCACCAGCTGCTCTCAATCTCCTGTCCTCCATGAGCAGACTCACTCAGGGTGTTTCTCAATCGCGAGTAAAGCTGCTTCAGAGCCACTATTTCAAGCATACTACGTCATCGAGTGCAGCCGAAGTACTGTTCCAATCTCCAGTATACTTGGAAATCTACCGAGCCCGGCGTACTCCGTTTGGAGAAATATCGAGTGTGCACATGAGTAGACTTCGCGGTCTTAAAATCCCCACAATGCTTTGCGCACGGACCAATTTCCCCAAATCTGTGGCGGAAGATGTAAGGCGGGGCCTCTCATATGACGCACACCTGCACACTTGCTAGCCTGTTCCTCTCTTTGTTTTCCGAATGTCAGTAAGTATTCTTGACTCGCTTCTGAAGCAAGATGCTCGGCAGACATGTGCTACCAAGCAAGCGTACTCGCGATTGAGAAACACCCTCAGTCTACTAGCCACATGCTAGATACTAACCGGATATGAAGGATTTTCAGAATAAAAGCTTGGCATTGAGATTTCCTGAGAACTGCGTTTCACTTCGGTTAAATGGATTCCTTGCGTCCCTCACTTGCGTCGTTTCCCTGCGACTAGTCCCTCCCACCAGGGAAGCATGGAGAGACGCAAGGAAACCACGAGAAGCAGGGAAATGAGTTTTAAGAGCAATGGGACGTACTTTCCTCCGGAGCGTCACGTGAAGCGACGTCCGTTTGTGATGACGCCGCACAGCTGATCGTCTGACAGCAGCCAGCTCTGTCCCCGTTATTTTCACAAACACCCCCGCCTCTGTTAGTACACATTTACTGACACAAACATTTGTATCATCTGTTGTAGACCCAAATAAATAAAATCAAATAAGAACTAATTCTCAAAAAAGATAAACGCCATTCTTAAAATGTATAAACGAATATTAGTTTGATTAATATTGATTAGAGTGCACAATATAAATAAAAGAATTGAGAGAAGAAAAAGAGATATGTTATCTATCAAAACCCAGTCAGATTAACATTCATTGGATTGCACACTTAGTTTGTTTGTGTGGATATGTAGCAAATTAACATGTTAAATAGCACTTAATGACTGACTGAATGGAAATGACAATAAATTAAAATGTAAAACGAAAAAAGCAATCACGAAAATGTTTCCAATAAATGAATGAAATTATTTTTGTCCACTTTGTTGTTCAGATATATCACATATTTGTAACTGAATGATGCATTCATTGAAACAAAACACAATATGAACTGAGGAGTGAGTCCCGTGAGTTTCATGTGTTTTCTTCACTCAGCTGGGAAACTGCTCTCATGTCAAGAAGCATCAGATCATTGCATGCGCTGCATCGTCCAATCAGTGAGCGATACACAGTAAGGGGGCGGGGCGAGTGTCTGAGGATTTCATCGAAGGATGGTCTGGTGGTTCCTCGACTATAGCTCCTCCATTATCGCTCCTCGCTCCTCCGGCAAAAATAAGGCCATTGGGACGCTTCTCAAGATGGCGCAGACAAATCAACTTCCGGTAAGACCGAGACCGAGGAGCGAGGAAATGAAAAATAAGAGAAGTGAAACGCAGCCTTAGACTAAATTATGCTATTAAACATTGATTTTAATTTCTAACAGTCCGCAGGGTGAAGCAGCAGTGTTGTAGTTTCCACGTTTCTCTCCTGTAGCTGAACTCAGAGGAAGTTGTTAGTTTGGTCTGAAGGTGAATCTGAGCGTCTGTTTTTCAGTCCGTCTCTCTCTCTGCAGTGAGGGAGAAGAACAAACTGTTTCCTGGTTCGTCTCAGTGAGTCAGTGAGGGAGGAGCTCTGTCAGACCTCCTCTGCTGAACTCTGTTTCCTCTCATGTAACTCAGGGAGTGTCTCAGTCCAAAGGGCTGATTCATTGCTGGAATAAAGGTTATAGTGGGTGAGTTAAAATATTAACTAAGATGTTGTTGGAGAACTGAAGTAGGCTCCCTAATACCCCTTTCACACCAACGCGGTTCCAGGGCCGGTTCGGAGCTGGAGCTTGAAAAGCACCGGTTTTTCCTGTTCACACCGCAGCGGAGCCGCCTCTAAGCTCCGGAATCCGGTTCGTTTCGAGCACCAAAAAGTTGTCCGTCTAGAAGCAAGAACCACGTACGTCACGCTTACGTCGGAGGGGGGCGAGATTAACCTGAGCTAACAGTTAAGGCGAGTACGGCAAATAAAAGTTGTAACAAGCAGTAGCGCTGAGCAAAGTGACTAGAACCCACACACTTGTAAAAAAAAAAACACGCTTTATAAAGTCAGGCAACACTAACCAGGCTTCTTGTGATTCTGTTTATTTGTACCTTACTTTGACCATCCGTTCGCTGTTATTGATCATTGTGGAGAGCAGGCAGACGTTTTGTTTTGTATTATAGCAGCTATCGGATGGAATCAATACATGGGCTGCACAGGTTGTCATGTCCGACTATCACAAGTAGAATCATAATGAAAAATACGCCGGTAAAATGTGCCTGTAGAAAACAGCTTATGCCACAATAGGATAGCAACAAGTAGTCAAGTTATAGTCAGTTTAACTTCGGTTGCTATGCTAACATCACCCATTTTATATCAGAGACACTTTCATAACAGCGTTGTGATGCCAAACAGCGTCAATTCAGACTGACACACATTCACTTATGGGGAATTGGGGATATGTATCAGCTGCTTGTGTGACAGTCAGACAGTGAATACTTTAGAGCCGTGTGAGCTAACCCGGAGCTAACGGGAGAATACACTCCCGTGGAAGAGCAGCCAGCACTGCAGCGGTCGGTAAATGCCGCTGAAACACATTAATAAACAATGAACCACGGCACTCTGGATAAAAGTATAAGGTTGGAGAAGTCGTTATTTAACTTAATCTGGCTTCGTATGATTAAAAGCAACACGATCATCGACCCGACGCAGTCCCCGGCCCGTTGTTGTTGTTGTGAGCTCCGTTGGGGAGAAAATCAGCGACGTAAACTGTGACGTCATGACGCAGCAGCGGCAGCACCAGTCGGGCTCTGAGCGGTGTGAACAGAGCGGGAGCTGAACCGAAGAAACGGTTCTGAACCAGAAAAGCTCTAGCACGGAGCAAGAACGGGAAAAGCCTTGGTGTGAAAGGGGTAATAGTGTGAAGGTTTCACAAACCAAACTCAAATATCTGTTAAGTATAGGGGGGGGGGCTTCCATATCCGGCAGAGAAGGTGTTGTGGCTGGCTGCCGGATATGGAAGCCCCCCTATAATTTTTCACCTGCTGGGCCCAGAGTAACATGCTTTTGTGAGCACAAAGTAGAGGGGAACAGGCAACACCAGTATGATTTTGGTGAAGTTGTGACTATCCTGGACAAAGGTATAGGGGGGCTTCCAAATCCGGCAGCTACAACACCTGGTCTGCCAGATATGAAAGCCCCTCTTTAGTTCTTCACCTGCTGGGCCCAGAGTAAAATGCTTTTGCGAGCACAAACTAGAGGGGAACAGCAAACACCAGTGTGATTTTGGTGAGTCTATGACCATCCTGGACAAAATGATAGGGGGGCTTCCAAATCCGGCAGCTACAACACCTGGTCTGCCGGATATGGAAGCCCCTCTTTAGTTTTTCACTTGCTGGGCCCAGAGTAAAATGCTTTGGTGAGCACACACTAGAGGGGAACAGCAAACACCAGTGTGATTTTGGTGACAGTGTGACTGTCCTGGATAAAGTTGTAGGGGGGGTGCCATATCTGGCAGCACCTGGTCTGCCGGATTTGGAAGCCCCTCTTTAGTTTTTCACCTGCTGGGCCCAGAGTAAAATGCTTTTGCGAGCACAAACTAGAGGGGAACAGCAAACGCCAGTGTGATTTTGGTGAGTCTATGACCATCCTGGACAAAATGATAGGGGGGGTTCCAAATCTGGCAGGAGAAATACCTGTTCTGCTGAACATGTTATGTAGAGAACAGTGCAGATCTTCCCTATTGACACCAGGATTAACCTAGTCTAAAATAAGGAACATTAATAGTGTGATATAGGCACAGATATAAGATCAATAATACACTTTATTTTAGGGCACATTTCAAAGCATTCAATGTCACCTTAAAATACAATAAAAAATAAAATATGAGTGGCATTACAATACAAACATGTGTTGAGTAGGAAACCACAGAGGAACATTACATTCAAAGGAGCAATTAAAGCGAGTGAAGCCAGTTTGAACACATTATAATCTTTTAGGCTTGATTGAAAATAACACAGTGTCTGACATATGTTATATAATTACTGTTATATCATTGCTTATATTCGTGGTTATCAGACACTTAAACAACAGAGAAGGTTTTAAAAAATAGGACTATACTGACAAATGACATATTATCCTGTCATTGTCTGTTCTGTAGGAAGGAGGAACATAACAGAGTGGACTCAAAAACGGAAGTTTGTTCCAATACGAAGATTGTGACAGATCTGAAAAGTGTCCTTAAAACGAGCCTCCACGCAATTGTATGCACATTATTTATTCAGCCGTTTGCTGTTTAATCTGATGGGAAATATATCATTCAAAAGAGAGAAAGTAAATAGTATCTTTCGTTTTTCCGCTTAGAAAACGAAGCGAACGCTCAATACAGGCGATGACGTCACTTTGCTTGTCCCCGCGAACAGGGCTTCAATCTACGGCAAGGCTTCAATCTACGGCATAACACCGGTTCCGCGTTTGGAGGCAGGAGTCGCAGGACCAAACCATTACATGTAAATAGAAGGGGGTGTACAGAGGCTTTGGATAATTAACTTTTGGAAGAAAATAAGTTAAATGAATCGTACGTTTAGTGAGTAGCCTACTTTATCAATATAACGTTCTATTAATGTTAATTATTGATGAAAGGGTACTTATATTTTTTTTTCTTAATGTTCTAAACATTTTAGGGCCCCTGGTAGTCACGGGCCCTTAGAATCGTCCTAACTTTTCACCCCCTTACGGCGCCCCTGCATGTAACACGTTTTAAATTATTTATACAAATTAAAAATATATATATTTGTATTTTTTAAATTATAAATAAACTGTGAACTTTAATGCTATGTGTATGTGATGTCAGATAGTAATATAAGAGTAATAAATGAAAAACAGGTATGACATACTATATGACAGTAAAACAAGAATACAGTTTAAAAGGGGTGTGATTTGTAAAATATCCTTAAAGAAAAAAGTAAATCTGTTTACAGTTCTGTTTCATATCGTGTTGAGAGATATATCCATAGATCTCTTAATGTTGCTCTCAAAGTGCACCAGATTGATGAATTTAACTTCAATATAAAAAGAAAAATCTTCCTGGGGGAGCATGAGGAGGTTAGGTCCACCCCCCTCTTATAAAAATAGCACTTTACCCCTGCTTACACCTATATGCTGTGAGCTGATTATCGAGCCTTCATTGTAACAGTCGCGGGTACACTGTGTATATGCGTGGGGATTGTTGCAGTAGAACATTCCACTGTAGCGCCCGGTACATTAATGGGAAACCCTACATGTTTGAGCACCCTCTATGAAACGTCAAGCTACCCCACAGCACCCCCAAAACAAAATCTCAGGCCGCGGCACATGACGGTTTTGTGTGCCCTCCCATGAAAATCATATGCCCTCTCTATAGATTTGTTCTGGCGCCGGTTCTGGGCCTACAACTGATTATCAACAACCACCATTCACTGTGTAGAATTAACCAAAAACAGGACAAACCTTGTTACGTAACCCTGTTACATACAAATAATAAATGAAGTCTGGTGCAACAAGCATTAGTAGTGTATACAATTGTTTTTCTTCTTTCAACTAATGTTTCATTTCACACTGTAAAAATAAATACAGGGGATTTTACAGTAGATTACTGGCAGCAAAGTTGCCAACAAGTTACTGTATTTTTACTTTACAGTAGCGATCTTGTATTTTGTTTACAGTATCAAAATCAGTGCTGTATTTTTATATTACTGTATATTACTATAATTTTGTATGTTGCTGTAATCTCAAAAACAATATTTTACTGTGATTATACAATACTGGTATTGTGAAATAACAATACATTACTGTTCTGTATACAGTATAATTTTACAGTAGTGTATGCAATAAAACAGTATATTACTGCAGTTTTCTCTTTAACCAATTTTAGATCCTAGTCTCATTTGCAATAGGTGCTACCTGAAACGATAAACAAAAACTGGGATACAATTTAAATAAAATATGTTTATTGATTTCATTTCAATATTAAGTTCAATATGAAAAACATGGTAAAATAGGACAGTTCATAACAGATATAAATACAACAGTTCATAACAGATATAAATATAACAGTTCATAACTGATATAAATACAACAGTTTATGACAGATTCAAATACAACAGACCAATTAAAATACAAAATCACAAGTAGTGAGGTCACAACATTAGATCACAACAGTAAATCTTCTGTAATTATGTGAAAGTAAAAGGGTCCCCTGCAAGAGAAGGGGACAACATGGAAAAGGCAGCATACTGTATCATTGAAAATGTTTTCTACTTCAAAACTGAAAAATTAAATACTATAGAGATCATACATGTATGAAGCACACATACAAAACATGTGGAATTAAAATACATGTTCAGCTTTACATGTCAAAAGTAAAGTGTCTAACCAAATCCTTACCTAACATGATGAGCCTTGGTGTGCCTGGTAGGGTCAGTTGAGCCTCAATTTCATCCTTGGTTGCAGTCCTACACACACACACACACACACACACAATAATATGTTCAAATTAATGTACAATACAATGTAATATTTGAAAGGCATACATTATTACATTTTCATTGCACAAGATCATAATGTATAACTCCACTTACATCAGCCAAAAGGAAAAGAGCCTCTTCTTTTTCCTTGAAAAATTCCTCCTCGATTTGGGTGAGGACATTCTGAATCTCTGTCCTCCATTTGGTCAGCTGACTGTTGAAGCTGTTTAGCCATATAATACTGCTACTCAATCTCGAAATAAAATACGAACTTTTAGGGGAAAAAACCCAGCAATAATAACGTTTATAAACCTAAATAATCCGTTAAAGGTCACAGCGGTTCTCTCCTCTTGCTCCTGATATTTTCACCCCGAAATATTGTACAGTAACAACAAAATGATACTGTAACATGACAGCACTATTTACAGTATTGCTGTAATATTACAGTATCATTTTTTAATTGCTGTATACATTTCCCGCCTAAGGATAATATTCCCACAATGCAGCATAATGTACAGTATCACATTGTATTACAAATTCAAAGTAAATTACTGTGGGTAATACAGCAATTTACTGCCTAGATTACAGATTTTCTTTTACAGTGCACATTTGGGAGGAATAAAGCATATCTAATCCAATGTAATAATACAACATCACCAAGGAAGACAACACAGAGATCAATGAACGTAATAAACTTGCAGCCACAAACACATGTTAAATCAAAAAGAGAAATGCACATTACAGTTAGTTGTGTACTCACCCAATCTGCTGCAGGCTAACCTGACTCCAGGCAGTGGCGCCGGAAGTAAAGGGGCCAAGGGGCCATTGGCCCCCCCACTTTACAGCCCTGCCCCACATTTTCGCAGCGGCGTCTGCCGCGGAACACTACACCCCGTTTCAATAATTCCCCTCTACTCTAAAGTCGCATCTAAAAAGAATGCGATCTGAGAAGGACTGTTCTTGCTAGTAACGGTTTACGCAGAGTCCTTGTCATTCCACTGACCTGCACATTTGGACTAGTGATGTGTCGGTCGCGAACGAGCCGGCTCTTTTAAGTGAACGACGAGAGCCGGCTCGCGCCCACGAGCGAGCCATTTTGTTGTTGTTAAGTAATACAAGACAGAATGATATGATCAGGGCCGGTTCTGACCAATTTGCTGCCCTAGGCAAGATTTTTGCTGGCGCTATTATACTGTTTTTCATCAATATATTACAGGTTTCAGATATATACAGAACATGTCTCTGATTGGCTGAAACACCAAACAGATCATTGCAGCTTCCCATAATCCCCTCTGTTTCAGCCCTGTTTCAAAAGTGCTGATTCTCTGTCTGTTACTTTAGATGAAAATAAGGAGCCCCTCCCCACGCCCCTCTGAGAGAGATTTGGTTAAAAAGAACTCAATGGTGCTCTAGGAGGAGATTCAGGTGATAAGGTGGGGGGGGGTTACCTTGGTTGGTGATTGGCTAATGGTTACACAAGCCAACACATCGTTATGACATCATAAAGTGGCCAAAATCTAATCAGCTCATTTTCAGACAGGTTTTTATTAGGGCTATCAAGTTAACGCGTTAATAACGCGTTAACGCAAAAAAAAATTAACGCCACTAATTATTTTAACGTGATTAACGCATGTGTATTTTTTGTCCTCGGCCGCCCCGTAGTTTCAGAGCACATCGAGTTTAAAATACCATCTACATGCTGATGCTGACAGCCCCGCTCCTGCAGCCCGCTTGTGGCAGACCACACTTCCACGCTCACCGGCAGGCCCGGACTGGCCATCGGGAGGAACGGGAAGGAGTGTGTATGTGTGGCGCGACTCGCGCGAGCGAGGCACACCTTACGTGTTGTTGTTGTTGTTAGCATCTGGTGCTAGCTAGCTGCGCTAACGGATATAAGGAGCTGTTTCAATGACATTTCGCCGACAACTGCGCCGAGCACTTGACTTTATGCAGGTAGCCAGACAGTGGGACATTGTACGAAAAGTCAGCACACTCAGCACGGATAGTACGCGCTACATGATTGCAGCGTCCAGGCAGCACACGTTCGAGCATATATGCCTTGAGCGGCACATAGCTCCAACGATCCATCACAGTGTCTCCACATTCTCACACACACACACACACACACACACACACACACACACACACACACACACACACACACACACACAGTATTATTGTATGAGAGAGGTTCCAGGTTGAATTGAGGCGAATATTTGTAATGTTCAGAGGATGTTGTGTTTAATATTCATGAGAATATGTGTCATTGTTCAAATGATAATAAACAAACATATAAAGCATATTTGTCCACTCATATGTTGATAAGAGTATTAAAAACTTGAAAAAGAACCCTCTAAGGTACATTTAGAACAGATAAAAAATGTGCGATTAATTTGCGATTAATCGCGATTAACTATGGACAATCATGCGATTAATCGCGATTAAATATTTTAATCGACTGACAGCCCTAGTTTTTATATAAATGGATCAGGACAAAAAGAGAGAGAATCTTTGTTCCTGACACTTTCAGAGTCTCTTTACACAGAGGGGACACATGTTGATGAAGAAGAGACATGAAGAAGAGGGGACACATGTTGATGTAGAAGAGACATGAAGAAGAGGGGACACATGTTGATGTAGAAGAGACATGAAGAAGAGGGGACACATGTTGATGTAGAAGAGACATGAAGAAGAGGGGACACATGTTGATGTAGAAGAGACATGAAGAAGAGGGGACACATGTTGATGTAGAAGAGACATGAAGAAGAGGGGACACATGTTGATGTAGAAGAGACATGAAGAAGAGGGGACACATGTTGATGTAGAAGAGACATGAAGAAGAGGGGACACATGTTGATGTAGAAGAGACATGAAGACGAGGGGACACATGTTGATGTAGAAGAGACATGAAGAAGAGGGGACACATGTTGATGTAGAAGAGACATGAAGAAGAGGGGACACATGTTGATGAAGAAGAGACATGAAGAAGAGGGGACACATGTTGATGAAGAAGAGACATGAAGAAGAGGGGACACATGTTGATGATGAAGAGACATGAAGTGGATTTTGCATAATATGTGACCTTTAAGTCATGTGGTTACTACTGATAACATTAAAGTGCTGAAAAAGCCTTTGAAAGTAAAGAGATGCTGATTCGTTAAAGATGGCGCCCGCTGAAGTGAAGACGTGTCAGCTTTTTCTCATTAAATGTGATTGTTGCTGTGTTATGTCAAGTCTTGGACCTTCTCAATATAACTATAATTTAATTACAGTTTCCAGATATTGCAAGAGGCCCATGAGTCTCTTTGCTAATTATCAATGGTCTTTGCAATTAACAGCAGATGTACCCATGTTAAGTAAATTGGCAAAGGTCAGAGGAACTCCAAGAGAGGTCTTCCTCAGATAGAATACAGTTAAAGTCTTGTTAGTTAGTGGTTCATATTCAGCATGCATTAGCTAAGAAATGATAAGGATGTTGGTGTGTGACATCTGGAACTTACATGTTGCTCTGATGTTGGTGCGTCCAAGTTTAGGAGACCTGACAATGTGTGTGCGTTAAACATGATTAGGGAACATGTTCGTGTGTCATTTAGGAAACGTATATTTGGCCTGTGTTTTCTTGTGTTCGTGGGAGCATTTCTGCGATTGGTTGCTGTTGAAGCAAGGTAATGTTTCCCCATTGTTGTTTGGTGGTGCGCAACTAAATAATGATTATTCTCAACTATTTTCTGTGTTTGTGTTTCATTGATTCCTCTCTGTTTCATTCTTTCCTGTTGTGTGAGTACTGGATCTCCCCAACAGCTGCTTTAATAATCTGAGTGATATCATTAATATTAATGCACAACTCTATTGTAACATACATGTTTTTATATATTCAAGTAGTGCACACATTACTTTATCTACACCAATATATATTTTACTTTACTATATATTATAATTGTATTAAACGTCTTAGCTGAATACTCAATTCTGATTGGTCAAATTGGACGTTTAAGAGGTTGTTAATACTCGATAGCACACCGCTGCCAAGAAATCAGTATTTTAGATTGAGATTAAATCCTTTAGAGTTTATAAACGTGTGCATTTGATAATCCACACTGAACAGCAATGGGTCGTCCTCTCTGTTTAGGCTTCTCCTGGGAAAACTGGGTTTAACATTTACTCAGTTTTTAAATACTTAGAAATCTATTTAAAACATTTATTTTATTCCCTGTCTGTCAGGGAGTTAATTTAAACCCAGTAACTCTGTATGTTTTATATGATTAAACAAGTTTAAAATGTAAAAATTGCATGTAATAAAACTTTAATTTCAACGATTTAAAATCAATATTGTCTGGACTGGAAATTAAAATGCATTTTATTTTGGATCTGAGAAATGATTCGCTGCTCAAACTTGCAGTTGAATTAAACATATTATTTATTTATTTTCCCATCATGCACAAATCACAAATGAACAATTTATAACATAGTTTCAATAAAACAGAGAAGGTTAAACTATCACCTGACATAAAGGTCTGAATCTGGGTGAGATCATTTCAGATGTAAAGAATATATATCTCTTATTTCCTCTAAAGGAAGCAGTTCAGCATATTTGATGTTACTTGGATTAAAGTGTCAGCTAAATGCACGTGTTTCAATTTAATAAAGGTTGACAGTATGATCAAAAAGCAGATTATCAAACTCAAAAACAAAAACATTAGTGAAACAAAAATAAACACGTTTAGAATAAAGAGACAGCAGAGTATTTCCCTTTAAGACAGGCATGTCCACGGTCCGTCCTGCATGTTAGATTATTATTTGTCTGACCTGATTCTGACACACCATCGTCTGTTCAATGTTATCTGACTCTCCAGGTATGAATGAAAGAGCGTGTTTTTAGAGTTGTTCACGCCTGCATTAGTGGCTTATATTTAGTTATATAGCCATTTGAATAAAATAAAGATAATTGTGACAATAAGAATTGTGATATAATATTCACATTATCAAATCCGGTCCTCTTTGAAAAAAGTTTGCACACGCCTGCTTTAAGAGATAAACATCATAGATATAATGATCCCATTGATCTCTACCTGCTCTGCTCCACTGTCACACACACCTTCAGCGGTAATATCTTCACTTCACCCACAGTGTTAAAGTATGGAAACATCTTCTCA